CGAATGAAACAATAATTAGTAATAATTTAATAAAAGATTGGAAAAAGCGGGAAACTATAAATTTGAAAAATTTTTTAAAATAGTTCAACCTAATTTAACTTTAATTTAATAAATGAAACAAATAGTTCTTCAAAAATACTTTTTAAATTTAAATCAAGTACATAATTAGAGAATTAAACATTGATGGTTTCAAATTAAATTGAAATTTTTGATTTTTTACATAGAATTTTAAAGAATAAAAAAATTTATAAAAATTTGTTTCATTCCTTTTTTTTTTGTTTATTTTTTTTTTTTGTTTCGTTAAGAAGTATGATGCAATTATGGAGAAATATGATGCAATTTGGAAGTTTTAAAAACAGACGAAGGTCATTTTGAGCATCTTAGTCATCATTTCGACATATTAGATTCTGATTTATCGTTATATCAATATGCATAACCATAATGATGATAATAATAGTGATGATGATAATAGTGGTAATAATAATGGCGATAGTGATGATGATAATAGTGATAAAGATCATGACAATAGTATAATAACAATGATAATGATCATGATAATAGCGATAATGATAACAATGACAATGATCATGATAATAGTGATAATAATAATAATAATAATGATAATGATAGCGGCGATAATAATAATTATAATGATGATGGTGATAATAAAAATGATAGTGATGATGGTGATAATGATAATAATAATAATAGTATTGATAGAAAAGTAGTAATAATAATAGTAATAATAATTATAATAGTGATAATAATGGCGATAGTGATAATAATGATAATGATGATGGCATAATAATAATGATAGGGTTAATATAATAATAGCGATAATGATGATGATAATAGTGATGATAATAATGGTAATAATCACGATAACGGTGATAATAATAATGATAGTAATGATAACGTTTGTGCGATTAGTACAACAAAATGACCAACCAATTATTCAATTGGCTCTCTTTTAAATCTATTAAGGTAGATAGATTGACAGGTAGATTATATTGAAATGAAACAACAAATTTGGTTCTTTATTCCATACAATTAAAAAAAAACAAAAAAACAATTTCTATAAAAAAATATTATACTTAATGAATAACTATTATTCACATCTGTCTCTCTGTTATCACTATCTTATCACTTCTACCTATTCATCTAATAGATAATCAATAATCCAATACAGGTAAGTAGTTAGGTAAAACTATGACAAAATGGTTAATTGTTTACATTTATTGTTTTTATTTATGTATTTATTATAATTAAAATGAATAGTAAATATGCTATGAGAGTGAAATCATTGCCATTTTTGCTTATTTGCACAATAACCGCCGCCCAAAATTCTTTTTCATTTCAGAAAAAGGTTATAGCAATGGGAAAATTACCTTTTGTATATTTAATGTATTTAATGCTTTTAATTTGAAAATAAAATTTTGAAATTTCAAATTCATCTCATTCTTTCATTTAATTTATCAATTTTTGAATATTTAATCATCTAATCCTCTTTTTTTTTCTCATTTTAATTAATTGCTAAATTTCTTTTCCTTGAAAATTTAAGCTTTAATTTACAGATTTTTACTTTAAGTTTTCTAATTCTCATATTTAATTCAATTATGGGTACAATTAAATATAAAAAAGAAGTAAGTACTACTTTATATGGTACTATATAATGTATCAAATAATATAAATTTAAATATGTGTTATTGAAATATATCATAAAGTGAGATGTTAGATATAAAAAAAAATAAAAAAAAAATAAAAAAAAAAAAAAAAAAAAGTTAATAGAAAAATTTGAAAATAATTATCACAATTAATTAAAATGTTACAAAAAAGAAAAAGAAAAGAATCATGTCTATTTTTTTTTTAGTTTTAAATTAATCATAACAAATCTTACGTCTATTTTTTTTTTTTTTCTTTTTCTTATTCATTTTAAAATTACAACAAAGTATATGGGTAAATAAAAATGTTAAATGATTTCACATTTCATTCATTCATTGTTCATTTCATTTTGTTTGTTGATTATTTTTCTAAATTAACCCAACAAGCTTCTTAGCTAATCAATGTTTTGTTTACGACATAAAATTCAATTCAATAAGTAAATTTTATATTTTGAATATAAATGAGAAAAGCGATGAAAGCATAAGCTTGTTGGCATTCTAATGATTTTCATTTAATTTCTACAAATTCATTCTCTCTTCCTAATAATGTGACAATATAAATAGATTAGTGTCTCTTTGAGAATGTTTAAAATAATAGTAAATTTTTACATATTAATTTTTCCATTTATTTATTTATTTTTTTTTAAGAAAAGAAAATAGAAAAAGCAAAGAGAAAATGAAGATAGAATGAGGAAAGAAATAGAGATGTGAAAGAAATCGAAAAAAAGATAATCAAATAAATTTAATAGCTATACAAATATAATCAATTAGAAAAATGATTTGGTTAGGATTCATTAAATATAATGAAAATATTAAGTGGGAAGAAGAGAAATGTTAGATACATATACAAATTTGACAAATTATTGATATCTTTTAGTATCAATTAACCCAATAGGGTTGACAAGGTCAAATGCTTAACGTTTCATCTTTTAGGCTAATTATGCTTTATAAATTGTTTATAAGCTTTGAATTTTTCCTCTTTCTTTTCAATCATTTTTCTTTTCCTATATTTTATTGCTAAATTATTTCAATTAAGCAAATCAAATTTTAGAATATAAATGCTAAAAATGAAGCTAATCAAAATTACATTCCTTAATTAATATAAAATTAAAGGTGAAATAAAATAAAACTAAATTCATTTATCATTAGTTTGCTTCATCTGTTCAAATTTGATATGTGAATTGATTAAATGCTATGATGAAGTGATATTATAGGATTTATCTGACAATTCTTTTCTTGCAATCAAATAGATATTATCATTTCATATAATTAATTAATTATGTATTAAATAAATTTCGATAATATTTCTATTACTGATATATGAACGATGACATTCCTCAATGTTATTTATAAGTGTTTTTGTATTTTCTTCTTTTCTTAAAAGCAAGAAATGGAATTTAAATGAAATTTTCCATTATGATAAATTTGACTTTCAAAATAGCTTCTTAAATTTCAAAATAATTAGAAAACATTCCTTTTTGTCTAATTACATTTTACAATATGATGAAAATACATATTTCATTCCCATTTTATAAGTTGCTTTTATCTTACAAAAGCAAATATTCATAATTTTATATTAGAATTGAATTAATTATTTCTTAGTTAAAATTAACTGCTAATTAATAAAGTAAGGTATAGTTAGATGAAAAAAAAAAAAAAAAAATCTACTAATCCTTAATTAAGCTAAAATTGCTAAATATATTGAAATTTCTTCAGTATAATAAATCTTTAGTTTTGATATTTTTACTTTCAACAATTATCACTATCAATTATAATTCAGTAAAGATTATTGTTTCATTCTTATCTAAACTAAATTAAAATTAATGAATGATGGATGGATGAGATTATTCGAGAAGATAGCATATTATAAAGTATAACTTAGCTATAAGTAATTCCTTTCTATATGATTGATTAGTGTTTAGATATCTTTCATAAATGACAATGAGACAGACAATACGTCGTGATAATTTCACTGTGATTCATTAATTATGTATATGAATTTAAATTATTCAAATTTTACATATACTCAACATATTTCAAATGTATGATAGTATTTTCTAATTAAACAGGAATAATAATACGGATGAAAAATGTAATATAATTGTAATATTCCTAAGGAATTTCCAATTTTTGCTTTTTTTAATTGAATAATACATGTTGTGATAATATATCAATTGGATGATAAGTATTGCAGAGGATTAATTAAATTAATTTTAATTAATAAAATCATACATTATTATTATTATTATTTATGAAACATACATTAATGAATAAAAAGTAATAGCAGAGAAATTTTCATTAACCTGAGGAAATACTCATTCCGTGATAACTTACCTATACTATGTTACGTTTTACGATGAAAAACGAAGCTTAAAGCAGAAATCACTCAAACTTCTCAGAAATGACACATTTCTTTTTTTTTTTTTTACTTCTATTGAAATTCATCAATAAAGTTAAATGACTAGAATTTATAAAATAACAATTAGAATACATACTGTCAAATAATCCATGAAAAAGTATTTCTTCAATTTAGCTAACAAATATTTACGTCCATTTGTTTCATCGTTATATATAAATATTTGCGAATTAAAAGAACTGAACAAGTTTAACTTTCTTTAGCTTAACTTTGTTATGAAATTGAATTTGGAAAAATGTTTAAGAAAAAAAAAAAAAGAATGACAAAGTAGCTAATTAGCATATTCGAAGGTAAAGGAAGAAAGAGAGAGAGAGAGAGATTCTCTGCCTCAACGTTATGGTTTATCATATTGGATTAGGTTAGTAGTGTGCTATCGACATTGCGTTAAAAAAAAAAAAAAAAAAAAATACTATTTAAAATTAACGTTTAGGATGAGATTCTGCAATTCCCAAAAGAATTGCCATTAATTTTGAAAACAGTTTATTGATAACTTAAACGGATGATAGGATGAATGGTTTACTTTAACGGACCATGTTACAAAACCTGTTTTCAGGATTACTGAATGCCTGGTTCATAAGTCAGAAATTATATTTATATATAAATTATATTTACTGAAATGATTGTGAGATCCCGCAAATAATACAGGGATTCAAGAATTATAATTTCTGGTACTTCAAATAAAATATTATCAGCAATTTTTTCTACAAGGAATATCAATCAGTGATAAATATTCTTTTAGAGAAAAATTTAGAAATTAAAATGAGAACCATTGAAATCTTATTCATCTGATTTCTTCATCTTCTCTAGTGAAGATCAAATAGTTTACCTGCTTTGTGATCTCTATACAACAATTCTCTTTCACATTTTTATCATTTTCTTTTTATTATAGAAATAAGGTAGATCAGAAAAAAAAAAGTGCTATATCAATGTCGGTATGATCGATGATGTGCACGTGTTTCACGGCTTCTTGATCGTTGATGCGCACGAGTTTCACGACTTCTCGAACGTTGCTGTGAATGTCTTTTACGGCTTATTGGTCGTTCATTCCGATAAGATCGTGCATATTTCTTGTAATCCGGCGAGCTAAATTGTTCTTGCATATACAATTCAAATAAACATGTAATAGAAGAACATGAATAGATAGCGAAATAAATTGAAGTACTTTTAGCAAAATTCAAACCTTGAGCGTCTTCTTGAACGTTGATTTATCATTTTATCACTTGATCGAGTTTTCTTCTCTTTCTCACTATACTTCTCCATCTTTAGCTTTTTATGCTCGATGTCTGATTTCTAAAAAAAAAAAAAAAAAAAAAAAAAAATAACCAAACATTATTGATAACATCAAAGCTTCCAGTTATTCTATTTCTTAACTATTCAAATTATATGTTATGATTAGTGTACTATATCACTGTCATTAAGCGATAGTCGATATCATTAATAATAATTACAATTTTGCATAGAGTTATATTAATTTCATTCTATAAGTTTAATGCTTTAACATCTGTATGATATGAAAAATAAGAACGCTCAAGTAAAATCTTAAAGTTTACTAAATTTTTAATATCTTTTATTATGTAATCAATATGCTACTTAAATTTTTTCGGTTTATTTTTTGAAGTGCAAAACTGGAAAAATATTTCAACTTGCAATACTAACCTCTGCAACATCGGAATTGTTTACTCGTTTTTCCGATCCTATAATGAAAACATTGATTAGAATAGTATCATTTGTAAACTAGTAAATATCCATCAACCTAAGTCATAAAATCACAAAAACTCAATGACTATCAGATGTTGGTAGCTATCAATGTTGAATGTCAACGAACGGTACATTATATACACAATCATGCATACTACTGTTTATCTTAAATAGCATAACTTATACTCAAAAAGTTATAACGAAGATTTAGATATTTACACCACATAAATGTTGGGTAATAATAAATTTATCTCTACTAAATATTAATGAATAGTTGTGCACAATTATAGAGATAATTAAACAATTAATCCCAGTTTGGAAATTGTTGTTGGTCAAATCAATTCGTAATCATAATAATATGTTTTTCACTGTATATAGCTTTCTACTATGCTTTTAATGTTTCGAATATGAATAAAAAAAGAAAGAAAAATTACTTTTTCTTTTTATGTTTTTTAATTTTTTTTTTTTTTTTTAAATTACGTTTTTTGAACTATTCTAGAGTAATGGGTCTATTCATATCGTTTTTTACAGATATAGCAGATACTGAAAAATTATATAATGAAATCCAGAATCGCCTGTGCAGTATTAATTATTACTGGATTGACGGAGAATATTGGTCAAGTATACAAAGGCAGGAAGTGGGTACCACCTAGGATGAATCCAGATTTATTTCCAGTAAGTTGAAAGCGAAAGAATGTCAAGAATTTCAACAAAATTACTAGATGAAAAATAAAACTAGAAAAATTTCTAAAACGTAAATGACTTGAAAAACTTTAAAAAATTTAACTCAATTTAAAACTTTTTGAGTAACAAATTTTAAGTAAGTTAACTATTCGTTACTACAGGAACCTGAATTTGATTCGTCATCTCCAGAATGCATACCATATCGTGAACCTTGCGGTTTCTATAGTTTTACCATTAACGGTTATCCGCCATTAAAATGGGTCAAATCTTGGTCAGTTTGTCATTTTTATGATAATAAAGTGTGTTTATTCACTGAAGAACAATATTCATCGAAATCATTCCATAAATAAATGAATTTTCGGGTTTCCACTTTCCTTTTTATCCTAAAAGTAATGACAGTACGTCAATCCCAGTTCTCTTAATCTAACCTAAATGTCATTTCATCTCATTATCAACCATTCAGTCAATTGCAAGCAAATTGGCGCAACCAAGCTTACTCTCATTAGTTTAAGAATATAGCAAAAGCAGAAAACATAACCCATTAGCATAATTAAGTTAAATTTCCAATTCTGCTTATAAATGGACCTATTCCCTAGTATCCTTTTAGATTTTAAATTTGCAGCGATACAAATACAAATATGGAAAAATATCCAAATAAGACATTCAGTAACGAATAAGTAATTACCTAACCACAAACAAACAAAAAAAAAAAAAAAAAAAAAAAAAACAATAAAATCCACTTATCAGTTGTCCTATTCTAATAGTTGTTTAGTTGTTTAATCGGTATCTTATTGTATTATCAATATTTAATAATAAATGACAAAAAAAAAAAAAAAAAAAAAAAAAGGGAAAGAAATTAGAATTTTTTAGGTGCAGATGCGACAAAGATCATATATGTACGTATGAAAGAACGGATATGAAAATGCGAATTTATCGACATTCTTGTACACCAAAAGATTCCAAAGAATATGATTAAATTTTGTATTCTTTTTTCTTAATTCATTTGCTAACAGATAATTCAGTTTTTTAGTGTATGTATGTATGTATGTGTATGTGTATGTGTGTCGAAAAATAACCTCCCTTCACCAAACTGAATTTTAAGCAACATTTTTTGAGTAAAAATTAAAACTTCAACAAACTTCATTATGTACAACACATTTTTTGATTTTCTTTTTTCACAGAACGAAAATTAAAGTAAATACAAAAAGCACCGTATAATGCAATGATATTTTCTTCACTATAAATTATAAAAGAATAATTTTGGACGTGTAATTATTCTCTTTCTAATTTATAACTAATTTTCTTTTTTCTTTTTTTTTTTTCGTAAGAATAAGTGGGTCAAATAAAAAACAATAGGGGTCGAACTTCATCTTTCATTCTATTCTTCTTTCTAACAATTACGAAAGAATGGTGGTACAAAAATTAAGGAACGAAGAATTATGGCGAAAGATTTGTTAATTATAATGTGCCCAGTTTGACTTTTGATTGGTCTATGGATTTCAAAAAATGAAAGGAATGTGCATTAATTCAATTCTGTGCTTAAAAATTTTTCGGCAAAATAGTTTCCCTTTAAGTACAGGGGAAAACTCGTTATATAAAGAAATAACCTTGAAAATGATCCCTCTCTTTCTATAAACGAAAACAAAAATCACAGATAAATAAATTAAGACCTCTGTTAATTGTTTGAACATTGATCGCATGTCAGAATGTAAATTTCCATGTTTCTTTTGAATATTTCTTATATTTTTAAAGAATTCGGATATGTAAGTTAAATTTATTTTTTTAACCCACAAATCTTATCTGTTAATAATTGTATATTCAAGCGATTAATTCATTTCCAAAGATGACCTGCTTCTGCATTGAATTTATATGACATTTATTTGTCAATTATTTTATTTAGTCCTCAACATGTATCTTGATCTCATGCTCTTATTGCGATAGTTGAATGCAGAGGTTAGATAAACATGTTTTTTGGTGTGCAAATCTGATCAATCTATAGCAAGAAAGTTACAAAAATGTAATGCCATGAGATGGTAAAAAGTTCATGTTAATCAACTTTTCCCTTTCAAAAAACCTACTTTTCAAATATTTTAAATCACGCTATGAGGTAAACTAAAGATTGACAAGAAAGATTCTATTAAGTTTCGAATTATACAAAAGATTAATTACAAAAGTTATAAATACCACATATTGCTTACCGTCCTTTCTTTTCCACTGGTAATTCTTGGCAACTGATTGGGAAAAATCAACATGTATCCGCCTATCATCAATCAGCACGTTATCCATTTTGAAGTAAGCATTTTCGCAACTTTGGACCTGCCGATGTAGAAAATAAATAAACAAGCCAATTCACAAAATTTTTAAATTTTTATATTTCGCGCCTTAGCAACTCTTTAAATCAATTTTTCACTCTATAGTACAAATGAATGAATCAAGAAATAAAATTCGTTAAGTAGCATCACTTTTAATCCACCTTCCAGCATCATTTGAAAATTTTGCTCTTCTTACTTTAAACTTAATTTCTTTCGCACACGAAAAAAAAAGAAAAAATAAATAATGAACCGAGATAAACAAAAATATCGAGTTAAGCTCCAAATTTGGGCAATCGAACCTATATGCCTACAGCATTAAGAGATTACTTGCAATATTTTACCTCTTCAAATTCAATGAAAGCATACTGCAGTGAAGCACCCGTTTTCCTATCACGAATGACTTCACAGCATTTTATTTTGCCAAATCGAGAAAAAATAATTTCGAGATCCTGAAAAAAAAAAAAAAAAAAAAAAAAAAAAAAAACCAAAAAAGACTGAACACTTGAAAAAACTCCGATCGTAGAAGAAAATTCATATAATTAGTACTTACTTCATCCGTCGTAACTGGATTCAACTTGCACACGAACAAAACATTATCAGGTGGCTTCTCATCTGCGTAATGCAAATCGCCTACCTAAATTTAAGTGAAATTTACTGATTAATTTAATAAAAGTATTGTTTTGTAATTTTCAGTCATTTAATGTGATATTTCCTGAGATAATTGAAAAACGAAGGCAATTAAAGTTATATCTTTAGTCCTTTCACTGACTGGAATATTTCAACTAAATCAGTAACACCCACTGAAACCTACAACTAGGGGCTAAAAGTCATAATAGGAGCATACCATTTCCAGAATTTGTGCCTGAGCAGCCATATCTTTGGCTTCAATTTCTTTTTGTATTTCTTCTTCAGTTTTACCTTCTTCCTCATTTAATAACTGATCCAAAGCAATTTGAGAAACCTGTAATTTACGGTGTACACAAAATTATTAATGCTCTCTATCCACATAGTGTAACGCATATCCTGCCAGTTCTATACAAATATCACTTCTCGCGCCAACTTTCCAACAAAACTTGTGATATCCATTTCTCAGTCTATTAACGTTTCATTAGACTGTTTATAAAAAAACATCGAGAGAAGGGTGTAGTGCATTTCAAATCTTGAATTTTTCCGGAATTCAAAAGAATTAAAAATACTTTGAAAAAAAAAAAAAAAAAAAAATGGAGAAATCTATTAAAAAATAACTGACATTTAAAAGATTAATTGTCGGGGATGGCGATCTACTCGGAAAGTGAAGTTGCTTAGGATCGTCAAAAGGATCATCTAATATAACAGTATGAGCTATGCTGCAACATAAGAAATATTCAGAAATTTTTGAGCAACCGTTACGGAAATAATATATAAGTTGCAATGTCCGAAAAGCAAGAAATAAAACAATTTGCCTAAAATCAATAGATATCAGAGAAAAAGTTCTATTCACCGTATATCCCGAAATGGCCTATTTTGCTCATCACATATTTCCTGATTCAACTTTTCTAATGTATCTAGTCCTTCGGTTACTTGTCCAAAAATAGTATGCTTCTCATCCAAATAATCTAAATTGTCACCTGAAATGAATAACAATTATTCAGCAGCATCACCAAAATTGCAAACTCAGTACTTATTTATCACGGCCATGACACTTGAGCTCTGGTATTAATTTTAAAAAAAGTCGTACTAACCTAAGGTAATAAAAAATTGACTGCCAAGCATGTTAGCACCATTATTAACCATCGATACAATACCAATTCTGGTATGACGTAATTTAGGAACAAGTTCTGGCTCGAAATAACGCGCTTGATCACCATACAAATAGCTGAAAATGAATGCTACAGTAATGTCACAGATTGCAAAAATAATAAAATTCAAGATCAAAATTTAATATGGAAACGTACGTAAATACCGATTCTCCGCCATTTCCTGTACCAGTTGGATCTCCTGTTTGAACGATATAATTTTGCTGTAAAAAAAAAAAAAAAAATGAAACAATTGGTTAATTAAAATTTAAAAAAAAATTCATAAATTACATCTTAAGAAATAATGTAATCATATATAAGATTAAAATTATCGATAAAACTATTGGACTGTCACAAACTGATCGATCATGCAAAGTAAACTTCATGATCGATAGGGAATATGTGGAAATTCGAACAAAAATATGCGAATGAAGGATGCAGATTGTATAGAATGTATTTAACTTGCAAAAAAATGTGAATAACTATAAGTGACGAAAGAAAATATATGTAAAAAGATACCTCAATCGCATGAAATTGGCAAAAATTATAGTATTTCAATTTACACAACTTCAGAAAATTGAGGCAACCTGAAAAATGAATCAGCAATGCTCTCATATTTGCATTGGTTTTTTGGTGAAAGTATTTTATTATTCTAACTAACCAAACAAAAGTAACAATATGGAACTAATGGCAATAAGCTGATAAAATAGGTATCGAAATAAGTTGCAGATTTCTGGGCAAGTTTATAAACATTAAAAATTATTAGAAGCTGTAAAAAACTAAGAATTACAACACAATGTCATCTTTTCCCCATCAAAAATATCAGAATTATTTGCACTCTTTTCCTAAACTAATGTTTACAGCATCGCATCACATCCTCTAAAGACTCGTGATTTCTCCTATTTAATTATCTATTTCAACCAACTTCTGCTTATATTACGGTTTAATTTCTCCCTATTCACCCTATAATGTGTTCCAGTTCAATAAATAAAACTTACATCTCGGGCGTTCTTTCACGAACAAATCGATGACAATATCACCAACCGTCGTTTCAACTAGTACTGCCATATATTACAAAAACATTTAGATGTGAGTTACGCTGAAATATATCTTCAGAACTATAGAAGAGAAACTTGCAAAAGTAGTTATTACTGGCTTAACACCCACATTTATGCAAAGTAGCATGTCGACGAATCCTACCCTCGCCCCCCTTTCCCTTCCCTCCCCCCCCCTCCCGCCCGCCCCATTTAAAAAAGAAAAAACTACAGGTACTTGTCCAAATTTTAAATATAATTTCTGTTGTGATCCATTTCTCAGTTCTCAAAAAATTGTGGAAGTTATTTAAATTACAATATAATTTCAAAAAAGAAGTATCACATAAGCTCACACACAACTGCCTGTCACATAAGCTAAATTCATTAAGTCGCAGTACTTCATTAAAATGGAAATCCGGATTCCAAGATTGAAAATGGAAATTCCACTGATACCCAACAGGAAAGATATTCAAACTTCGCAGCGATAATTTAAGCATTGCATAAGAAGCCGTTACTTGTTAACCAGAAGCTTCTTTAGAAAACAATTTTATACAAACGAAAAACTCAACATGATTTATAAATTTCATGGAATCAAAATGAAAAAAACAAACATGATATGACAAAAATACATGGAACAGTTAAACAATGTATTACAAGTGCTACAAAGAAAGCACTTCTTCCCTGAGTGCATTGATAATTTCTTCAGACCATTCTTCACGAATTTCATCCCAAGTTATTTCCACATGTTTTGGATAATCCGTTACTGATGTTAACGTGATTTCTCCGTCAAACATTTCTATACCATCCTGAAACGAGCATTTTTTTGTGAATCATAGAACAAAATTCTGATGTTTTTAAATAAATAAAAGCTTGTGAAAATCACTCACCTCCTTGACTTGCAAATTAGAGTCGTATAGTTTTAATTTAGAAGCAAGAAATTTCCAATTTACATGACCAACTTCTATAGTTTCACTAAAGGCAATAGTATGCAAGGATGTGCCTAACTGTCGCGCTGCTGCTTCTGGTGTTATAACTTCCAGTTGACTAGTCTTGAAAAAGAAGGAAGTTAAAACATACATACATAAGACTAATGCAAAACTAATATCTCATCTAAAAGCTAATGAAAACCATTAAATTTACAATCAAATTTTCATAAAAAAAAACCTGCTTGTCCATAGTCAAGAAAGCACGGAAAGGACAAAAACGCTTGCTCGGTGTCGGATCCAAACTAATGCAACGATCTAATATTTGCACAGGAATATTCAGAGATACATTTAAGGGAGTTTCAATAGTAACTGTTTCACCGTTAGCTGGTTTGAATACCTTTAAATTAAATTCCTGCAAAAAAAATTATTTTCAGTGCTACAGAAGTTTGAAAGTAGATGTCTGGTAATATTAAAATAACTATTTGAAAGCTAACTTTCTCCACTTTTTCCTTCAAGAACTCCATTTTTGCATCTTCACCGTGCACAAACATAACATTTCTTGGTTGACAATCACGTATAAGCTAAAACAATAATAGCATCTAGGTAAATCTATAATTTAATTCTGGCATATAGAAAAGATAGCAAAATAGTCTTCACTTAAATCAGGTATATCCACTGAAAGCATTGCATAATATTTGGAAAATAATGTAATCTACGGATATTTTTCAAAAAAAAAAAAATCTGACGCTTTACTTGCATTATGCCTTTCGCATCAGCATGGGCACTGAATGACATATATTCGACTCCCAAATTAATTTCTCTCTGGAAGAAATTAAATTATTAAAATTACAGATATTCAGAAAAACATGTACCAATTTGTATAGTTTTAGCCAGTAAAAAATATAAATTAAAAAAATCAAATACCACTCTTCCGGCAATCTCAATTTTTTTCATTCCTGAAATCACTTTCGCTCCAACCGTATTAGCAACACAAAAACCAGGCATGATGATTAAATTTTTCTCGTCCGAACACCATTTTGTGAAAACTCTTAAAGACTGTCCACCGTGCAACATACCTGTAATAATGTGTAGAAAAAAAAATTTACAAAATTCGATGACAGACAAATCAAATAAAAGTTTAAGAAAATCTTCATAACGAAAGCATCATTAAACAAAGACCGCTAATATAAGATTGCCTAAATTCAATATCTCCTTATAATCATTTTTAACTACTTTTTTCGTTTTCTTCTCTTTTTATTAAACATATTAACTTTCAAACTGTCCTTTATATTCTAACAGTGAACAAATCAATACAAATATATACCTGGCGTGCTGAAAAGCACCATCGGACCAGGACTTTCAATATAAGATTGCTCGAAAGGCCTAATGTGCTTGAAATCAAACATGTTTCGCTCAACGAATGTCCTCTTGATCTTTTCATTTGTCCAGCTGATGAATAATCGATAATACTGAAAGAGAGAAATGAACAAATCTAGTGAAATAACTTTCAAATAACTTATTCAGAAACTTCACGTTGAAATTCAATGCTGTATATCAGTTTTGACGCAAATAAAATACATGAAAACTTGATGTGCTACCAATGAGATAAATTGTAACAATTTTTTAACTAACAAAGCTTGTACATATAAAAACATACCTGATTGGCTTTCTCTGCTAATCCCTGTGAGAAAAATATTGGATACTTTAAATTCATCCGCTCCCAGTATGATTCCAGTAAAATACATAATTCTTGAGCACGTCCAAGAGCGAAAACCGGAATCAACACCTTAAGCTCAGTGCATTATATACACAGCAGTATCGCAAATGAAGCAATAAAAATAAACAAATGCTTCTTGAGCCACAACCTAGTTCGTCTACAGTAAGCAGCGAAAGAAAAACCTTTCCACCATTCGATACAGTGTCATGAACTTTTTTCAAAAAATCTCGTTCGCGAGCACGCTTCGAATCTCTTATAGTTGTCGCATAAGTACTTTCTGATATTAGTAAATCAGGTTTGAGGCCAGGTTCAACACGCGCAGCGCCCAGATGTCGATCAGGTGTTGTATTGAAATCGCCTTCAAATTTCAAGAAAAAGTGAATACAACTGTTTAATTCTGAGAACTTCGATTAAGAAAACAGAATTACGACTAGTAACCGCCGAAATAAGAAGTAAAAAAGGCTCGCAGGATGCGTGATATTTTTGACCGAGTTAGTGCGCTAAAAAGCTTCAAATCACTTCATTTCAATCTGTACCTGTATACAAAACGCTTTCAGAACCGACCATAATTTGAAACATCGCAGCACCAAGCACGTGACCCGCATAAAAAGCTCTTATCGACAATTCGTTATCTACATCGATTTTTTCATGTATATTTATTGCGATTACCTAGAAATTATGCAATGCTGTAAGAAATGACCAAAAAAAAAAGAGCATAAAATTGAATTTAACCTTTTTCATGCAGTTTTTGATCATTTGCGAAGTGAAAAAATTCTTATCTCCTTTGAATTCAGTCTGAACTTTGCGATAGTCCTCCTGAAATTATTATAAAATATACTTAATCAAACAAACGATTTAATAATGAAATCAGAATATCCACCAAACATATCTCTTTTTTCTACTGATTTTGAAAACCAATAGACTGAGAAGCAGTACTAACTCTAAAAACAAAAGACAAGTTCTCCTGAGGTAAGAATCTCAAAATTGACCAATAATTTTTACCAATAAGACAGGTGCAATGGCTTTGGTTGGATACGTCATATAAATTGGCCCATCATAGCCAACAACTTCGCTCATATGAGGAAGTGAACCACAATGATCCAAATGAAAGTGAGTTATGATAACACAGTCAAGGAATTCTGTTAAAGATCCACCACCATTAATAAAACTAAAAATATATGTATAGTCTTTCGGATGAAATATTTAACACTCCAGCCGAAAAATTACTGAACGAAAGATGTGCGGTTTAAAAGTTCATTATAATCATTATGTATAAAAGTCAATATGTGGGCATGTTTATCAAAAAAATCCAAAAATATCAGCTAAATCTATAAAATAAATTTAGTAAACTAACGAGAAATCAGGAAATCGTCGCTCATCGGAATAACCCATATGCATACCACAGTCAAGCATCACATTCCTGCCACCGATGGACACCAATATACAGCTTCTACCAACGTCTCGGCCAGCACCAAGTGGAACTACCTTTAATGAATACAACAAATTTTGCTATACTGTTCACTGTGCCACTCTGAGCTTCAAACATGCAAAAGAATTTACTAATTAAAAAATTTTAAACTTCAAGTTATAAACACTTCTACCATCTGCAGGTTATTTAGATTAAGGAAAGGGATTAAATACCAGTTCAAGGAGATTTTTAAAAACGAGAAAATGGTATAACATTTATCTACTACGATATGCATACTTTAAAAGCAGAATGATCTGGACAAACACGCAAAAAAAAAGCATCATGACATTTTATGTTTTAATCCAAATTTTTAATGGATGCGAGAAACCGGACATTTTAATCTGGACACACACACAAAAGAAAAAACATAGTGACATCTTATGTCATTAAAAACTTGTCATGACTTACCTTAATTTCAGGCATTTTGATAGGTACAAATTAGTTTCCCACGTACTGCAACATTTCTAGAATAGAATATAATCCGGGTAAATCAGACCAATATTCCTGTTATTTTTTCCAACTGTTAAATTTCTGTTTTTTCACAACCGACAATTTTAATCATATTGTCATTTTCGTTTCCTTTAAGTCATGGAATGATACATTCAAATTACGTGTAAAACCACAAATAATCAATAATCTTTCACTAAAGATGACCGAGACATACCGGAAGCATTCACCGGTATGTCCCAATGATATGGAAAAAGGTCACTAAAGAGAATTTGTTCGTAATTTCATCCGTTTACTCAGTTAATTCTCATAGCTTGTAGCGATCTCTGCCGTTTTTTCAGCAACAGCATCTTTTGCATTTATTCTCAAATTCAAACATTTTTGCAACCTCTGATATTTTGCTCTCTCTTTCTTTCTTCAATCCCGATATTTTCCATAAGTCTCTCAATCCCTCCAGTTTTCCTTCTCGCACCGAT